AAATGTGAATCCCAACTACCTAGACCATTGGATCAACATCAATGAACGGCTGATAGCACATCGCATGTGAATAGTAGCAAACCGAGAGGCCAAGCTCCCCCGCCTACCGCGCCCCAAAAGCTTGGCCTTTTTAATAAGAGTACTCCAAGGAGCCGAACATGGTAGTTACGAATGCTCGCGTGGCAGTTTCATATATTCGTATGTAGTTCATATTGAAATATCTAAAAAAGACTTATATTTAGAAAAGGGGGGAGTATATATATATGGGTGCGACCACCAAACTTATAAATTCAAAACTAAACGTTACACTTCACAAGTTCAAAACAAGAAACTCGCACACGTATAACACACATGTCTTGTTCGCATTGCACCCCACACGGTCATTCTTGCCCGTCGCTCAACATGCATTGGTTTGGCATAGATCACTAACATGTGGTACCAATGTGAGCAAACCGACAATGTGCCAAACTGGCAAACTCCCCGCTTATCGCGTGGGAAAAGCCCCGCCCTAGCGTTTTTAATCTATCGATCGCGCCAACTCTAAAATATTTTTATCTAACGATCGCGCCAAGGAGCAGAACCAAATGTTATAAAATTTCTACAAGTTCAAAAGGAAAAGCCTTTCGCATTCGCATAGCACCTCACACGGCCGGGAGTACTCCATAGTTAGTTTGCACGCCGCTCAAGCTAGGGAACACGTGTTTTCTAGCATTTTCATTGTCATGTGGGATCATAGTTGAGCAAATTGACTATCAGCAAATCCCCATCCCACCCGCCGTGCGCCAGCTGAGTTAGAGTTATAATAGATAAACGAGAAAGGAGAAGAACTCGTTGTAGCACAGACATCAAGAAATTTGTTGTCAGATGAGACTCGTGTTGATAAAGTAGGAGCACTCGTTTGTACTACCACTATACTCCTCCTACTACTCTACTAGTACAACTACACTATTGTGCGTACTAAATTTATAGAGTACCAATACTCTGGTACAAGCAAAGCACGTAAGTTGGAATTCCAATTACACGACACAAACGAACCAACCTCTGGTTGGATGGTTAAAGGGACTATGGTATCCCCAGCCCACCAGGGTTCAAGTCCTGATGCTCGCATTTATTCCTGAATTTATTTCAGGATTTCCGGCGATGCGCATTCAGTGAAAGTAGATGTTCCCATCGACGATGAGGTGCCGACGATGACTGCATAAAATTCAAGATGATATGCGGGTTTAGTCTTTTGGAGGTGCTCATAGGGGTAGGGTGTGCGTGTGTGTTCATACGGGTGAGTGTATGCACGTGTATATGAGCGTTTGCGTTTGTACTGTGTTCAAAAAAAATTACACGACACAACTTTGTAGGAACAAAATACGGGCAATATCTTGTTTCGCGTGATCTTTTCTTTTTCCGTCGACGTGTAGTGATGCATGCATGAAGGCTATACATTAATTTATTATAAAATATTTTGGCAACTGATCGATTTGGTAGTTTTGGTAGGTATGAACATGCTATGTACGGTTGAGCATGTTATTATGGCAACTGATTTGGTAGGTTGGGTATGTATGGCTATGCGTGTGTTTGGCCAGTGATAGTTATTATTATTGATTAAAAGATGGAGGGGATAGGGCAAGAGGAAGGTGAAGGCGAGGGGTGGAGGGGTGGAGGCCAATGTACGACGACCAACTCCCCATTAATAGTATAGGTTGATCTTTTTTTTCAAAGGTTCAATCTAGCCCATTACAACCAATATCATTTAAACCACAAATATCTACCACTTCTCGGAAGCATGTAATTTGTGCAACATCCCTCTCATTTGGTCCCATTTGCTTCTCTCGGTGTATAACCTCACTAAAGTATCCTATACATACCCATGACAAAGTTGATTTTCCCCTCAATCTTGTCATAATGTCCCAAGTATTTTGCCTCCATAAAAACAAAGTCAACCTCAAGCCTTCCTTCCCTGTTTCGGCTAGCATCAATGTGGTACTGAGAAAAATTCTTCACACGATTTTTTTAAACCATGCCACTAAAAACACTCCAATACCCCCACTCCTTCTACCACTCGCTACAACAATGCCACCTTCAAAGGCCAACATCACCGTCAAACCCTCCACCCTTTTGTCTAGACAACTGAGTCTCCACAATACATACCACCTATGACGCACTCTGCCGAATGAGCTCATGGAGCTCATGAATCATCTCGGGATCGCCAATCCCGCGGTAGTTCCATCATAATTTCTCATTGGCCTTGGCGGCCCTCCTCTTGGGAGCCCGCTTCCTTTGTAAGCTCGTTAGCATCTCCCCCTTCTCCTCCCCCTGTCTCCTTCCCTTTACTATTGATTCCTTCCCCTGTATGGTCGTGACATTGACATCTGGTAAAAATGAATGGGGACCCTCAATCTGAAGTGCCTTACCCAAAACAGTACCTAGAGGAACAACAAACTGCCCAAAGAATTAACAGTACCATCTTGCTTACCAAACACTTTTGTGGACCCCTCGGCATAATTTCACTTCCTGATCGGGCACCCCATGCCAAGAAATTCGAGTTATGCATATTGTTTTGTGTCTGGATCAACATCATTTGGGTTTCACGCACCTTCTCCTCCCCCGCCACTTGCACTTCAGCTGCCTCTCTCACCTTCAACCCTTCCTCCGCCCCTTCCTTGATTCTGCCCGATTGCCAGACCGTAAAACTTCACATTAGCCACTCACCCGATTCAAAATTTCTTGGATCATGAATTCCATCTCCGCACTCTTCGACCACATGTCCCATTAGGCCACAAAAATAACAAAAGTTTGTAAGTTTTCATAGTACAAATCTAACCAAAGGAACTTGAACATCCAGAAAAACTCTTGCCCTCAAATATTTTGAGGTGTTGATGACCTCATCAACTCAATAGTAATTGGAGGTTCCCCCACTTTCCTCGTTACTCTCTTCGCTAGCTCTTTCTTCCTTATCAAACCACCGGGAACATCCTTGGACTCTAGCCCAAAATGGAATTTTGTCTAACTTATAATCATCGACATTGCTAAAACAATCGTACTATTGAATTACCACATAGACTCAAAACCGCCATCCACCACCCTCTTCCAATCCCCCAAACATCTAAATTGAAGTATGAACAAATTTGCACCCATTGTTCTAAACGCGATCTGCCAGGCCGACGACCAAGCCGTACACATCGTGTTGAACAACACGGAATGTCTAAACGAGTGGATGGTATGGACCCTAAAGATTGCTAGCCATGTGACTTCTTTGATTAAATCGGCAAGTTCCTCTTAAAACCAAGGTCCACCTCTTCTTCCCGGTACAAGTTGAGGCCCTCAAATCCGTCTTCAAGGTTTGGGATCACCCCTCATGCATGATCCACCCATTCATCTTCCTTATGACCCTCTCCTCCACTTCCTTCTCCTTCACTCGACACTCCCTTCCCATGATTTGTTGCCGATGTCTTTCCCGTATTTCCATCCGCTTCTTTCCCTAGTTCACCCGCTTCTACCTCCTTCCGTCTACCCCCTCCGCTGCCACCATCAAGGAGCGGTGGTTTTGCCATGCAACACGCCCAGATAACGCCGCTAATCCACAAGACTCCTGCCCGCCGGGGAGAACTCTCGCCGAACGTGAGGATTTTGGTGGACTTCGGCGAAATCGCCGGAGGATGGTGAAACCCTAGAAAACCCTAGGGGACAAAAAGCAGGGGAGGACTAGGTACATAAGTGGAAGCCCTAGCATATCCACGTATGCCTACCCAAACAACGAAATACTCCTTCCGACTCCCTCCGTGCCCATGGGCCATGGCGTAGAAAGGCCATCAACAGTTCGCGCGGCAGCGCTGCACTAACACACGCAACCCCACACACACGCGCATCCCGCCTCCCCCGCAGACAGTGACAAGGCGGTCCACCACTCCTGGGCCCCATCACCCCTCCTACGGACTACGCGTCGCTGCCCGATTGGCCCCACGCACGGCGGCCATCGACGAGCCCCCGGAGGCCCGAAATACCCCAAACAAAAACGCAAACGCAGCAGAGAGGAGAGAAGAGAGAAGAGAGAGGAAAAAACTTATCTGCCCCTCTAATCTCCCTTACCCCCGTCTCGTGATAGATAACCACCCCTCTCTCTCTCTCCGCGCCGCCGCCGCCGCCGCCGCGGCGCCCGCGCGACCCCTCGCCGCCCGCGCCTCTCCGGTGATCGCCGCAGCCTAGCACCCCTCTCCCCGCCTCCGATCCGATTTTCTCCCCGGAAAAATCACCGAAATACGCCAAAAAATCCCCAGGAATCCGCCGTGTTCCCACTTTTGAATAAATCGCACGGGTGTTTCCGCTGCCCCGCCCAACCGCCGCGCCCCCCCGCGCGGCCGCCGGCGCCGGCGATCGCATCTGGCGATAACCGTCCACGTCGGGCCACCCCCCGCCTCCTCGCGGTCCAAACCTCCGCGTCCTGCCGGGAAGACCACGGCGCGCGGCCTCCTCCTCGCACGCCGCGGCACGAGGTGCGTCTCCTCGCTGCCCCTCGCGGGTTTTGGAGGGGATTTGTGAAGTTTTTTTGGTTATAAGGCGTGGGCACGCATCCCGCACACCGGTTCGAGCGCCGCGCACCCGATCCGCGCCGTGGCCGGCTCGATCTGGCTGCCGCCGGCGCCGATCTATCGCACGGCGCGCGAATCGGTCGGGATTTAGGGTTTCGGAATCCAATTCGAAGATCGCGCGCTCGAGGCTGCTCAGCGCCTTGCCGCGCTGCTTCCACTGCTCGATTTCGATTAGAGCTCCGCACAGTTGTTTCTTCCCCGCCATAGTTTGGTTCATTTGGTGCTTACAAAACGACCAACCCCTAGCAAAAGCTTACTAAAACAATAGCATCCCGAGTTCTGATGCTCGTTTAGGGCATCAGACTTTGGCCATGAGCTACCCAAGTGAGGTTCTAAATTAGCTTCATTTTGTAAACTGCAGGGAGCAATAGACTGCTGAAGCGTTCCCAGTTTCTTCATGTTGTGTTGTCATAAATTGTGATGGCATTCTTCAGTAATTCTGGGAGCAGGGCTGATTCGGGGGGGTACAACTTGAACGAGAAGGCTGATGACGAAGGCGCCTATGAGTCAGTCAGGGATAGGGACGCCGACTTGAACTCGGGCCAGTTGAACTTGAATGAGAAGGCTGATGATGCCTACCACAGTGAGGAGGAGCAATACGAAGCTGGCCAGTCAGGTCTGAACCCTTCTGAGATTAAATCAGGGCAGAATGCCCCGAGAGTAGGTGGCCCTTCTGGCCCATGGGGTACAAACTTTTTGAAGGACTGCAGATCCACGGAAGGGGAAGAACCGTCAAATAGTGATAGGGGAATGGAAGACGGGTCTGCGGCTAGCTCACATGATGACATGGATGGTAGTGGAGAGGATGATGAGCTAAACAGAGGGCACGGGGATGTGCCCGCTGAGGAAATGCTTTCTGATGACTATTATGAGCAGGATAGAGAGGAGCAGAGTGATTCATTGAGTCGTCGTGGGATGAGCCACCCAAGCTGTTCCACTTCTGGGGCCGCATCAAAATCTGTACCCTCAAGACAAAAGAAGTCGACAAAGGGCAGTGCTTATGACGACGATGATGATGCGTATAATGATGAGAATGACAATGACGACGATGATGACGATGACGCAGATGGTAATATTTATACGTGCAGCCTTGTTCTCAGCCAAATTTTCTGTTGCATTTGCTAATTTTCTCCATTCGCAGAAGATGTTCCAGCTCATTGTTGACTCAAAATTTGTTTCTTCCTTTTTTGCAGAAGATGATCCAGATGATGTGGATTTTGAGCCAGACAGTGAAACCGACAAGGCTGCTGTTAAGGTCATTTACCAACTGGAATTTTTATTATCGCACGTGTAACTTCAGCAATTTATTGTATTGTCTACACATTATGCTACATGTTATTGTTTGGGTTAGCTGGTGCAGTGGAAGTTTGTTGCCGATGTTTTTTAGAACTACACGACACTGCCGCTAACTTCTAAGTTGTATGGTTCATAATTTATTTTATGAAGATGAACTGACCAGCATCTGTTTAATTGGCATGGTGAAAAGAGTGCCCTAGCTGATCCAACTTGCACAAAATCGATCGATTCTTCAAAAGAGGAAATACATAAAAGTACTCCAAATTATAACCTGAAGATCAAATAAGTATTCTTTGAGAAATTTGGAGACAGAAGAACTACAGTAAATAGAAAACCAGAGTTACCGGATTCGCTGGGCGAGGCCTTGAACTTCGATCCAGATCCAGATCCAGATTGGGGTTCGATCCAGATCGGAAATCACTGCCCGATTCGCCAAACTAGAACTGATCTCAAGTTTCCCCCCGATTCGTGGATCTCAAGTGAACCCATCGATTCAGCAGCCATTACGGGCTAGATGCTACCGCAGCTCCTCTGTTGCCAGGGCTGTCCAGGTGACGACGGCGGTGGAGACATGGCTGTCGGCTCGTCGCAGCTCCTCATGTGCAGCGGCGATACATGCCTGCAGGCTCCTCTCCATCCACCAGAGCACGAGCGGCACGGGAGAGAGCAGGGAGGGGGGCGTGTATTAAGGTGGAGACGAACTAGCATTAGAACAGAGGAAAGATGCGTGCCTGAAGCGAGGTAGAAGAAAGATGTGTGCGTGTGTGGCGGCTGGGGTCACAGGGACTAGGATGTCAGGATGTGAACCCAGCAGGTTAGGTTTCCATTCTCTGGTGGGCCTAATGGGCTGTTCCTTTTATTACGTATGGATCAGATGTATAATTAGATATGTGGCCCACCTAGTCCGTACATCCCCATAAAGAGAAAAATACACTGTATAACAGAGGTGGCGAATCATAATCGCCGGGTTCACGAACCCCTTCTCCGATTCGCAAATTAGGGATTTGTACCCTCCATTGAATCCGATCGGCAGATGTAGAGAATCCCGAATCGCGAACCAAGCGAATTGCAAATCAGGGTCTATGGTATAAACAAGAACCAAATATGGTGCAAATGCACGGAAGCTTGGAAGAAGCATATGCTTTTGTCTTCCATATTTTTAAAGAAAGTAATAATAGAAGACAGTTGCCCGTGGCAGCTGCATTAATGCATTCATCATTCATAAACTTCTAACCAAATCCTTGAGTTGTTAAATTCAATACATTTCTGTAGTTGAATGTCATGGTTGCAGTTCATGTACTTCGCATTTTCTTAGGTTACATTATGGCTAATAGCACATCATTGTAGCAATGTTCGGGGGTGTATATTTCTTGTGTACTGTGAACATACGAGGACACATACATATTCTTGCTCCTCTAGTCATGCTTTTCTTAATCAGTTTAGTCTTTAGGGTTTTTTGTTGGAAATTTTGAACTCATTCAACACTTGTGTAGATTTTCTTCTTCTGTAATGCTGATTTTTTTGTGGTTTGTGGTCATGATAGCTTTCAAACTGTTCTTTTATTAGTATTCCAGTTTAGCTATATGACCTTTTTGTTCGTTATTATTTAAGCTGACCTTGTGAAACTCGAATTTCAGGAGAAGCTTGTGGACAGTGAGAACTCAGGCGAAGAAGAAGAAGATGATGAGCTTGAGCTCTCGGATGATGATGATGATTTTATTGATAGTAGGAGGCAATCGAAACGACTTAAGGTCGGAGGAACTAAAACTTCCCAGCGAAAAAAGCTTCCTATGCAGGCTCCACGCAAACGAGGTGTATCTTTCACAGACGAAGAATATTCTTCAGGAAAAGACTCAGATGCACCCAATAGTCCTGATTTTAGTCATCGACCGAAAAAACCTGTCAGGTTGCATCTGAAAACTGTGGGCCATAATGATGTTTTCTCAAATGTCAATTCCCATAATGAATCCCGAACTTCGGGGAGGAGGAGGACACAGAGAAATATCTCATATGCTGAAAGTGACAGTGACGATAGTGAGGAGAAGTCAACTAAACAACAAAAGGTTAGAGTTCAGTTTGAATTATGTATCAAATTATTTATGTCACCGATATGTCTGAGGTTTAAATTAGATGAAATTCTATGACTTTTTCCATGTGCTGGAGTAGAGTAGTTGGTGACTACCAAATGCCTTCACTTTTGCAATATCCTTTTTGTTTCAGTCCTTCCTTAAGGGTTACCCCACTATTAGTTGGCATTAACTGTTTATAAATCTATTTTATGTATGCTGTGTGCACCTTTATAAATTTTGATCTCAGATCACTAACATATTTCCAATGTATCTAGCTCTTGAAGGAGGATCAAGATGAAGAAGATGGAGAAACAATTGAAAGGGTCATTTGGTATCAGCCAAAGGGTGTTGCTGAGGATGCACTGAGGAATGGTCAATCGACTCAACCTACTGTTATGAGCATGCCATCAGATTTTGATCAACAATGGGATGATGTAGAGTTCTACATAAAATGGAAAGGGCAGTCTTACTTACATTGTCAGTGGAAGACATTGTCCGAGCTTCGTAGTGTAAGAGCTCACCTGGATGTCTTCTGCTTACAATTTCTGTTTGTAATATTTGCTGTTTGTGTTTTATCTCTTTAGCCTATTTCTTTAGATGTGTGTTCACTTTATCTTTAAAATGACAGGTTAGTGGATTTAAAAAAGTTCTAAATTACATGAAAAGAGTGTCCGAGGAGCAGAGGTACAAGAGGTCACTATCGCGCGAAGAGGTAACAAAAAACTTTTGGCTTGTGCACTTTTGTGTTTTAACTCTTTGACATGAAGCAAAGCACGGTAACCGTCAGTTGTACTGCATATCCAGACAATAAATAGTAACCAAACATTTGCCTTGAAGAGTGGAAAAGAAATGTATGCGCATGCTTAGGAAAATAATATTCACCATGATATGTTAACTACTATCAAGTACACCCTCCGTTCCAAAATATAAGGTGTATTAATTTTCCAAAAAGTACTTATATAACTTCAACCAAGTTTGTAGAGAAAAATATCAACGTCTAGAATACCAGATCCTTATCATTAGATTCGCCATGAAGTATATTTTCGTATTTTATTTATTTAGTATTGTAGATGTTGATATATTTTGCTATAAACTTGGTCAAATGTAGGTACATTTTACTTATGGGAAAAGTAACACACCTTATATTTTGGAACAGAAGGAGTAACAATTAATGGATAGCATGTCACTGCATTTTTATAAATATCGAGATCTGTATTATGTGGTTCATAAATGACTGAAGTGTTTAATATGTCTAGTCTTGAACAAAATGTCGACTATTTGATATATTTATTCATCAACTCTATGCCTCTTCATCTATCAGGTTGAGGTGCATGATGTGGGCAAGGAAATGGAGTTGGACCTTATTAAGCAATATAGCCAGGTTTCACATTAATCCCAACTAGCTATTAATAAACACACTTATTTTTGTATTTGTACTCTGTCTTAAGTATCAATCTCCAGGTTGAACGGGTATTTGCTGATAGGGCAACCAAAGTGGATGAGGATGTTGTGGTGCCAGAATATTTAGTCAAATGGCAGGGACTTCCTTACGCAGAATCGACCTGGTAATTTTTATGACTTGATTCTGGGTTGGTCATTTTCATAGCTATGATAATACTTTGCATGTGGATGTTTATTTGCACTGACCCATTGAATGGGATGTCTATGGATATGTTAGAAGTGATGAGATATCCATATATAAATTGTTTGGTTGACCCTGTACAGCTGTATCCATGCTTTTCTGTTGTATTCGTGTTGCCCACATTATCTGTCGTCTTGCAGGGAAAAAGATACAGATATTGAATTTGCTCAAGAAGCAATAGATGAATACAGGGTAGGCATTCTATGTATCTAATCCACCAGTATTTCATCGCTACATAAGTTTGTATGTTAATTGGGTTTACACTAAACAACAGGCCCGTGAAGTTGCCACTGCCATACTGGGGAAAACAGTTGATTTCCAAAGGAAGAAAAGCAAAGGTAGCTTTTCTATGCATAATCTGTGCTTGCATACTTGATGACTGAACTTGATAATTTTTTTTGGCTTTGAGGACTAGTGTCTTCCCTGTGGATTGGAATTTTCCCCTTGTTGACCTAGAAAGCATAAACAATTTTAGAGATATATTCATTGTAAAATGGCATTTCCACCTTGTTTCCCATAAGTTACCAAATATTTATAGGTACTGTGTCATGTGATGCAATGAATGCTATCTATTTAGAATTTGCATTTGTTTTGTGGATTTTGACTTCCTGAGCACCATCACAAATTGACATTGTTGAATTATGTACTTATACTTAGGCGATCCATGGTCTTGTCTTGAGTTATCCGTTTCCTTGCGTTGCTGTATCACTATTCTTGAACTTCATCTAATACTAAGTTTATGTTACTCAGCTAGTTTGAGAAGGCTTGATGATCAACCAGAATGGCTAAAAGGAGGTAAACTTCGCGATTATCAGCTTGAAGGTCTAAACTTTCTCGTTAATGGGTATGTAAAATCTATAGATATGCATAACAAAAGCACCTTGCTTGCCAATCCATGCTCATTGATTGATTTGTAAAACAGGTGGAGAAATGATACTAATGTTATTCTTGCCGATGAGATGGGTCTGGGAAAAACCATTCAATCAGTTTCCATGCTTGGCTTCCTTCATGTAATTTTTTCACATGATCCTTGTTTTGCATGGTACCAGGATCTTTTTACTGATTAACAATACTTGGTATGTATCTTGCAGAATGCTCAAGAAATTAATGGCCCATTTCTTGTCGTTGTGCCGCTCTCAACATTGTCAAATTGGGCAAAAGAATTTCGGAAGTGGCTACCTGACATGAATGTTGTAATTTATGTCGGAAATCGTGCTAGCAGAGAGGTAAAGCTCAGTAAATTTCTTACATGTCTTTCTTCTTTTGAGGTTTGTATGCAACTAAATGCTGTTTTCATATTTTGGCAACCCTTTTTTATTTATGACACCTAATGTTTCTAATTGTTGAATGTAAACATTATCACATACCGACAATTCATGTAATTATTTAAGTTGCTGCTGGTTATAAAACATACTGGTTGTCCTTTAAACTCCTATATTATGTGAACTTGAAAGGAGCTTACTGTTATTTGTTTGAGCAAGCTTTTCTTGCATTGTGTTGCTGGTCATGTACTTGTCAGTTGTTCCACTTTGAAGGTACCGAGCTTTGCTATTCTGCTAGTTTGCCATCCGATGGGCTCACTGAACACTGATTGTGGTGCACACTTTATTTTAGACACTGTTTTCATACAACCTTTGTTCTTCTTCTTTATCCTCAATCCTAAGCAGTTGTGAGCGCTTCTTTTGATTAGTAGCTGCACATAATTATTTGTAAGGAGCACAATTTGTTAATGGACAACAGCAGGGACCTACAGGTTGCCGCTGAGCATAGTTTAAATATTTTAAATACCAAGAACACGTGCTCATCAATCCTATCTTCTTTGTAACAATTAATTTAGCTTACGTAGTAACATGCACATAAGTAAATGACCAGGTAGTCCGTGGTGCTCGATCTGCTGATTAAGAGCTTGTTCGGTTGCAACAAAATTGAAGGGGATTGAAGTGGATTGGGGTGGATTAAATCCCATACAAGTCAAAATCTCACTCAATCCCCTCCAAACCTCTCCAATCCCCTTCAGGAGAGGTTTAACCGAACAAGGCCTAAGGCAGAATCCCAGCGGCAAAGGGGCATCTACTACCTAGTGGTTACCTAGACCATTTTTTCTACTACCTTGGTGATTTAGACACCACGGTAAAAATCAGATGTATTTTTCTACTACCTTGGTGATTTGGACACCACGGTAAAAATCAGATGTACTCAGTATTGAGTGTAGCACAAGGTCTTAATTTTCTTCCATGCTTTAGAAACAAGCAAAGAGAAAGGAATAAGTGGGTAAAAATAATCAGTGTTTACAGCAAAAATTTAGGGAACCAACACTTAAATCCTGGTTTTCATAGGGAGGACCCCAAAATCTATAATGTCTCTAATTATTTCAAAATCACGGTTTTCACGCCTTGTTTACTGTTAGGATCCTAAAATGGGATAGTGGAGCTATCGCTAGCTTTTTAGAACCTACTGAAACTTATATTTGCAGATTTCTGCAGAAGATGAGTATATCCTGTTACTATACCGAGCTTCATGAATGGTATAATTCATCTTTGTTGCGGTATATATCACATCGTGTGTGGGATGAATCCGTCTGCTAATCATGGATCTTGAGCAGATCAGAGCTCTGCATAATTTAGAACCATTGCACATCATGTTTTGGCTACTATATTTATATATATCTGCCAGGTTGTTTTTAGGCTATGTTACTTTGTTTGCTCATTTGGTTCCTGCTTTTCTTCCTATTTTCTGGACTTTGCATTAAAAAATGTCAATTACCGATAAATATGCTTTTTTAAAGGGCATGTTCTTAGTTCCACACTTCCTAACGAGTTGTGTTCACCTTGCATTGTGCTTGACATTCTTCCTAATCCATTGGCGGCAGATGTGTCAGCAGCATGAGTTTTTTACAAATAAGAAGGGTGGGCGGCATGTAAAATTCCATACTTTGATTACTACTTATGAGGTGATACTTAAGGACAAAGCTGTCCTTTCAAAAATCAAATGGAATTATCTTATGGTTGATGAAGCCCACCGTTTGAAGAATTCTGAAGCATCACTGTATATTGCTCTTTTGGTACGGATATTCTCTTGAACTGAACGTAACAGCCTATGTATTGGGTAATTACCGCAAAAAGATAAAACTGTATTTGTTCTCTCTCAGGAGTTCAGCACCAAAAATAAGCTGCTAATAACTGGGACCCCTTTGCAGAACAGTGTTGAAGAGCTGTGGTATGTCCTTTTCTTATGCAGACTTGAGCTAGACATTTTTTTAATATATGTTTGCATTGTTGCTAGGTACTTGTAATTTGATACTGCAATATGTGAGTGTAATTCAGAAGTGAAATGGGTTGCTTCAACTACTTGAAAAATAGTTAACTTTTTTGAGAAGAAACATGGATGTTCATCGTAATATAAAATGCACAGTTCTAAAGTTTGTGATAAAAATATGACCATGCATCCAGCACAAAAAAAACTGATTCAGCCTGCATGGTGAATAATATGATCTTGCAGGTGCAGAATATGTCTTTTTTTGGTGCAAGGCGCATGTTATTTTTTCACCATATTTTGAAGTGCATGTCATATCATGACTACTCATGATTATTTTGTTTAGAAAATCAACTTCTTGAAGTGGATGAAAAAGAGAAAATACATAGTTTGTGTACAACCATGTGCGCAAAATTCAGGTTCATAGTATGCTCATAATTTTCTCCTGTTTTTTTTTTTTTTTTTGCAGGGCACTACTTCATTTCCTTGATCCAGTCAAATTTAACAGCAAGGATACTTTTGTTGAGAGATACAAAAATTTGAGTTCGTTTAATGAAACTGAGGTATTAATTTGTGAACGATGGTTTTGTATTAACCTGGATTGTATTCACAATTGTCCTATACTATTTGATAATCATTAACTCTCTTTGTTTTGATCTTTTTGTAGCTTGCAAATCTCCACATGGAATTGAGGCCCCATATTTTAAGGCGAGTTATAAAAGATGTCGAGAAGTCTCTACCTCCAAAAATTGAGCGAATTCTTCGTATCGAAATGTCTCCCCTACAGAAACAGTATGTTCTTTTATTAACTTATAAGTTCAATAATGCATTTCATTCCTCCTTGAAATGAACTTTTTTTTAATTTTTTTTGCTAGATATTACAAATGGATTCTGGAGCGAAATTTTCAGAATCTGAATAAAGGAGTTCGCGGGAATCAGGTATTAATTCATGAGTGTAATTTTTTTATCAGTTTATTTATTTATCCAGTTGGTATCAACAATTCATTTTTCTGTCAGTTTGTGCTGTTAAAGTGTTAAACAAATGGGTTTGTTTCGATATATTTTGTGAAGAACCGCCACTTCACAGAACTGCTTGCATAGGTTGCTCATTATGTTAGTCTAACATGTAGGTTGGCCAATGTTGAAGATCATGTATCTGTGAAATGAGAAACATTTGATAAATAAGGGTCTTGGACCATTGTTTCTTGAGCAATTCTGTAATGCTTGATTATTACGAGAACCACATCTTGGTAGGATGGTTGTTAGTATATTTAAAATAGCAAATAATAGGGCTTTGAAAAATCCGTGGCAATATCAAAAGGAAGGCTTGACCCCTCTGTGCATTATATTGCCCCTCTTATAGACAGAACTTAACTCAATTAGTGTGTTTATGCTGTGGAATTACTGAGCACTAAGTGTATCATCAGGTGTCACGGTGTCGGCCAAAGAAGGGCAATCTATGAATATCAGCCTCTTGTTATCTAGGAATCTATGTTATTGTGTGTTTCTAAGAGGCATTTTTTCTTATTCTACATATACTCCCTCCGTCCCATAATATAAGAACGTTTTTGTCACTAGTGGCAAAAACGTTCTTATATTAAGGGACGGAGGGAATAATTAATTGTAATAGCCTGTCTAGGGTTGCATATGCAAAGTATAATGTTTTTTAGATAGCTCTAGTTGCTTGGATATCATGTACTATTATTTTTCGTTTTTTGATGTTCATCGTTTATTCTGTAAACAATTGCTCTTCTTGTTCAGCATATTTGAGTTGCTATTTATACTAATTTGTCTGGCTGGCTGGATCATGATATATGCAGGTCTCGCTTTTGAATGTTGTCGTCGAGTTAAAAAAGTGTTGCAACCATCCATTCTTGTTTGAAAGTGCTGATCATGGTTATGGTGGAGATAGCATTGGTGATCGCAATAAAGTTGAACGTATTGTTATGAGTAGTGGGAAGTTAGTTTTGTTGGACAAGCTACTGCTGAGACTGCGGGAGACTAATCATCGCGTGCTTATATTCTCTCAGGTTATTTATTATTTGCTTTCAAATGATGTAATTTTTCAGTTTTAGTTAGCAGAGCTATTATTAGTTTTGGATATATTATTCTAGTATCGGTACTGATAAAACCACCAATTCTTCTATTAACTATGTAATCCAACTGAGGAAAATAACCAGCTTACTGATGTGAGTTGGATTAGTTGGCAGTGGACAGAATGTATTGTGTTACCATTACAGGAACCGCGTTCTTATAGCGCCAACATCAGTATATTGGACAATACATGTATAAATGATTTCTGAATTTTCATCTTTCCAGATGGTGCGGATGCTGGACATCCTTTCTGAGTACCTATCCCTTCGAGGCTTCCAGTTTCAGAGGCTTGATGGCAGTACAAGAGCGGATCTTCGTCACCAGGCCATGGAACATTTTAATGCTCCTGGAAGCGATGATTTTTGTTTCCTTCTGTCTACACGTGCTGGTGGACTTGGTATTAATCTTGCAACAGCAGATACAGTGATAATTTTTGATTCAGATTGGAATCCTCAAAATGATCTACAGGTCCTCTAATCTATCTGTGACTATGATTTATGGATGTTTTAATTGTTAAATAACATTTGCTTATCTTTCCTCTGTTTTTTTGTGCATCCTGATGTGATGCTAGGCAATGAGTAGGGCACATAGGATTGGGCAACAAGATACTGTCAACATCTATCGTTTTGTCACCTGCAAAAGTGTTGAAGAGGATATATTGGAGCGAGCAAAGAAAAAAATGGTGCAGACACCGAATGTCTTCATAGAGTGTTCAAATGAAAATACATGAGATGTGTTTAACTTATTTTACTTATTTATTTCAGGTTCTTGATCACTTGGTGATTCAGAAGCTGAATGCTGAGGGCAGGCTCGAGAAGAAAGAAACCAAAAAGGGTGGCTCCATGTTTGATAAGGTAGTATTTTGCCTAAGCTGTCTTGTTTTTGTGGGTCAGTTTGGATGACAACTTGTCTAGTATATGTTGGTGTAGAAATTCTCTTAGTTACTTGTTAACTAGATATGTTTTAATTTTGTTTATGCTTTAATGTTTTACATGAACTTGCATTGTTGTTTTTATTGTGATATAGCTTGTAGCCTTAGTGCAGGTTCGTTGACTTCCATTATAGCATGCATTTGGCTTCTACCCTAGTAAACACATTCCCTTGAAAGTATATAAAATGAACATCCAATCTGCAAAATTCAGTGGGGAAAACATTTTACCTTGAATTGTTGAGTCTCTTACTAGTGGACACATTTGGAGTATTTCTTTCTCCTTGCGCTAGTGATGAAATCCATATCATTTGGCAGAATGAACTTTCAGCCATACTGAGGTTTGGGGCAGAGGAGTTGTTCAAAGAAGAGAAGACTGATGAAGAGACCAAGAGGAAGCTTGAAAGCATGGACATTGATGAAATACTTGAGAGAGCTGAGAAAGTTGAAACAAAGGCTGCTGAAGGGGAAGAAGGAAATGAGCTTCTTAGTGCTTTCAAGGCATGTGACAGCGCACAACCATAAACTGATGCAGAGCACAGAAATTATTGTGCATTAATGTTTCTTAGTCTTTTGGATATGTTATTAATTGTTTTAAGTATTTTGGTTAGGTTGCTAATTTTTCCAGCGGTGAGGATGATGCCTCATTCTGGAGTAGACTAATACAACCAGATCCCGCAGATATGGGTCAGGTATCTATTTGGACATCTGATTCAGTTCTTGCTTGCCATCAACTCAACCAGGGAGTAATAGAATGTGTTCTGCAGGAAACTTTAGCACCTCGTGCTGCACGGAATAAAAAGAGCTATGTTGAGGATCACCAACTCGACAAAAATAGCAGCAGGAAAAGGCGAGCGGTTGACGCACAAGAAAAGCCAAGAAGGCGTTCCAGCAGAACAGTCGACACAATGGTTTCGTTACCATTTATTGATGGAGCAGTCGCTCAAGTACGGAACTGGTCATTTGGAAATATGCCTAAGAAGGACGCCTCCCGCTTTGTTCGAGCGGTAATCTGCGCCCACTACCAGCATATTTGATTCTTCTGCTTCTCTGGCTTGTTATATTTGCACATATCCTGAAGTATGCATTATATATCTTAGTTCCACGGTTATTATAACAATATGATCATGAGATCTGTTACATTATAGGTTCTCATCTTGTTTTATTAGAGATGTTCTGCAACTAGATAATCTTAGTTATTAATGTGTCAGTGTGCGCCCATCAAAGTATATTTGCCTCTGTCTTTTCCTGCTATCTTGGTCTTTTAACTCCTACTTAGTTACTTGTTATTAATTTGGAATGGTCATAATTTTAATTATCAATGCATGTATTGCACTATAAATGTGAACTGCGGGTTAATTTTATTTTATTGGTGCGTATAATTACATGGTCACTGCAAGCTTTGGTACCAGTACTATGTTTTTTCTGTTCAGTTTTTCTGAAATTTCTATGATAATTTGTATGCAAAATTTGTAGATTGCATTGTATTGTTTCGGGAGCTATATATGTGTTTGGCGTATTTTCTCCAGCTTCATCTATCTAATTCTCATGGTGAACTTCAGGTTAAGAAGTTTGGAAATCCAAGCCAAATTGGCTTAATTGTGGATGATGTTGGTGGTGCAATAGCAAAGGCTCCATGTGAAGCACAAATTGAGCTGTATGAGTCGCTCATTGATGGCTGTCAGGAAGCTGTGAAAGAGAACACAGACATCAAGGTATATTTCATTGTGATGCCTTAGAGAAAATGGTCCTCCCTCCGATCCATATGTAGTTGTTTCCTTGTGCGTTGTCTTCCTTTATTGAGTTCAGTTCATTGTACTTCAAATATAGGGCACAGTGTTGGATTTTTTTGGTGTACCAGTGAAGGCCTATGAGTTGTTGGCTCGTGTTGAAGAGCTTCAATGCTTGGCAAAGCGCATCGCACGTTACAAAGATCCAGTTAGACAATACCGGATCCAATCACCTTACAAAAAGCCACAGTGGTCGGCAAGCTGTGGATGGATTGAAAGTAATTGCTGTTTGACTTGGCTTCTGTAAAAATGTTTGAGAATATAAGCTCATAAATCTTTTTATATCTTCAGCTGATGATGCAAGATTGCTGCTTGGAATTCACTGGTATGGTTACGGAAACTGGGAGAAGATACGATTGGATCCAAAGCTTGGTCTGACAACAAAAATTGCACCAGCAACACTTGGTGAGAGAGAAACATTTTTACCACGCGCACCAAATTTGGATAATCGTGCTAGTGCTCTCCTGCAAAAGGTACTCTCCCTGACCTTTCATCATCTTCCTTGTGTGCGCTTTGGCTTGTTTGTATGCTGTTTATGTGCAAGTGCATCTTACGTTGCATATTCTGTATGTGAAGCCTACATCTGCATTTTCTAGAGCTAATATAAAATCGGAAGGTTGAGGTTGTCTATTTTGCTCATGTTTGGATGTCGAGTCAGATGTGATTAATTAATTATTGATGTTAAGCTAGCATCTGAACCTCTTTATGCCCCGACTATCCATGCTTTTGAAGTTTTCTGGTTCCACCAAGATTAGTGGTACCGTTCTGCTCACAACATCCCTGTACACATGCTTACTGATATGATTTTTTTTTTCAAGCAACTCGTGAGCTTTTTTTTTTGCTTCACTATCAGTTGTTCTTCTGATTGACAGCCATTTTTTTTGAAAAATATAAATCAAAGCTTGATTTGAATTCTGTATCTTTTTCTATATGCAATAGTTGTATCTTTTGCATGTGTCCAGCTTTGATAATTTAATCCATTGGCAAGAAAATTCTGCTTTTCTAGGAATATGCCAATCTGAGTGGAAAGAGCTCAAAAGCCAAAGGGGGTACTAGCCAAAAAGTCAATAATGAAAATGGTGGTGCTCGATCGTTTAAAGGCCGGCAAAAAGATGCAAAACCACAAGAGGATATTAAGTCGAACAAAGATGACATTAAGAAACGCAAGGTGGTGGAAGAAGCTGAAGCAAGAGAAGAGGGTGAAATTTCAGAGTCTGAAGAACAGATTAAATATCGTTTGGAAAAGGAGGAAAAGTGGCTGGAATGGTGCTCTGAAGCTTTGGATGAAGAGCAGGACATATTGAAACGCCTCGATAGGTTACAGAATACAAGTTTAAATCTTCCGAAGGAAAAGGTTTCTGCTTTATATCTTGATATTGACAATCTATTCTTAAAGTGCTCTACTGCCACCCTAACCTTATAAGCATGTGTGCAGGTTCTTTCAAGAATTCGCCGGTACCTACAGATAATCGGTGAAAAGATTGGAAAAGTCGCTGCCCAACATGTAGAATCGTACAAGCAGTCCCGTAAGTGTTGGTAGCTCCTACCTTTTTGTAGGAAGCATATGTGATGAATAATTTGATTGTTTTTTTTTTTGAGAAAACGCAAACGCAAAGGACCTTTGCGCTTTATTACATTGAAAAGATAGGGTACAATCATAATCCTTCTAGGATTTGAGTTTTACAAAACCAACAGTCTAATCAGTGGACATCCCAGGATGGGGTCAAACAACCCTGAGCCCTTGAGCCCCAGCCTTTGCCCAGCATTGGACCTTGTCCAGTAGCCCATCGACCGAAGGTCTCGCATTGTCGAAGACACACTCGTTCCTGTGCTTCCAGATCATCCATATTCTAGAGACATTCTTGAGACATTCATATTCATGAACATTCTAGAGACATTCTTTCATGAACATTGATATTCCTTTTTTTTTGCGGAACTTACATGTACTGTCAAAAGATACCTATCTAAACAATTGCATTGTTTGCAGGTATGACCACAAGATTATGGAATTATGTGGCAAGATTTTCAAATATGTCTGGGGAGCAATTGTGCGATCTCTATTTAAAAGTTTGTCAGGACCAAATGGAAGCTGGAGTCGGCCCCTCACATGGTGGCAATTTTGCACCTGCTTCTAACAGAGGTTCTTCAAATCAGCCTCATCCTCCTAGAAACCAAAGGTCAACAAGGTCTTTCCAGCACACTCCAGAGCCTCTTAATAATGGTGAAAACACTGGGAATTCGGAAGCCTGGAAGCGCCGGAGGAGAGCTGATCAGGATAATCAGTTTGACACCCAAACAATGTATCAACCTCCTCCATTTATGGCAAATGGTAACAGGTCGCAGGAATCTAGCAGTTCTGCTGGTATTCTTGGTTGGGGTCCAGTCGAAATGAGACGATATGGCACTGAAAGATCAAAGAGGGGTGTTCATCCCAGTCGTTTCCCTGCCGGGCATGGGCCTTTGCTTTAGCTGAAGTAGTCAGCTTTGTCAAGTCCTAGGAGTCTTCAGCTTCTACGCAGGTAGAAGTGGAGAATTGAAATTCTTTTTAGGCAAGACAAAAGAATAAGCTGTCAATATCTTGTCTGGATCACAGCTTGGAGTCAGTGCCTCGAAGAAACGGCTGATGTGCACAGAAGATTCCTGACACTGAAACAAATACATGGGTCTTGTAAACCGCCAAGAGGAAGAGTCGAAAATTTTGTCGGTCCAGTTTTGTGGTCTAATAGGAGAAAATTTCCGTTGGGGTCTTTAAGAAGGTTCATCTCAAACAAATGATCTATAGTTCAGCCTCAATACATGTACGGTCTTTTACAGTGCATTATATATAATGAAAATTTGGTTTAGTTGGATATTTTCTCTCTCTCTCTCGTGTGCTCACATGTTTCAGATATTTCTGCAAATATGATTTTGTTGTTGTTGATGTAACAAATCAATTATCACCAAAGAGCTAGCCATGGACCGGGGTGCGTGAAAGTTAGCTATCCACATGCCAGAACCATGAGTTGATTTTGAGATCTTATGGATTTCAGATCTAGCTGTCATGCTCTGTACAGAGTAACTGCATTTCCATCTTTTGTCCCAGGTCCCGTGGTACCGGCAAACTGAGGAAAGCTTGCCATACTTGTTTGTAACCTGGCTGGTTGGGTTATCGTATGAATTTTGTGACTTGTATTTCCTCAAAGCTGTAGGTTTCTTGGGCATTCTCTATTCATGATCATAAAACACACACATCTTTTATCATCAGTGTACATGCAGCGAGGCAGCCGTTTTGAAATTTATGGAGTTTGTGGTTTCACTGGCTGTCTTTTTTTAATATTCTGCTTGCACTGTAAACTTGGAATTTTGTGTAAATGGTAGAAGTATATTATTATTCGGAAACATGTCTTTTTAATTTCTCGTGACTTTCATCCGAGCGTCCTCATTTGCTAGGGTCACAGCTAGCATTGTAATATGCAGCAGGGAATCCAAACTCGAAGTTGATAGCACTACAGAGACGGAAATCCAATTAGACTCTGCTCCTGCTCACCAAAAAATGTTTTTTACAGCCGCTGCACTCCTTTCCGTCACTGCTGCCCGCCGCCGGAGGATGGCAGCCTCTCGTTGCCTTTTTCTGGTCGTTTTATTGTGGTCATGTATTTGGTCGTGATCGCGTTGTTGCCTTTGACGGCCGGTGCTTGGAGGGAGCTGTGTGGATTTTCAATAATGCTCCATCTACGTGAAGGGTTGCGAAAGCTTACGTAACTTGA